CCATTTTTAATGATCGACTGCCTCTAAGTAAAGTGAAATGCAATGAAGGAGATAACTACATTGTGTGTGAAAGTGAAAATTAGGAACCTTATTGAATACTTGGCTGAATCTAATTTAAGCTACCGTACATTTAAAAAAAAATAATAATTGGAACATACTGATATCAGTTGAAAATGATATTTTTTTTATGTGGCAGATGGTTTATTTGTTCGGTACTTATTCGTCATTCTGTATAGAATTGCAAGTTTTAAGTATTCTCTAACATGTGTCTCTTCACTACTAATGATTTTCATTCAAAAACATTATTGCATGCATTATTTACTGTATAATAATTCATTCAGATTATAAATTGTTGGCAATGTACACCATAGTTTAAAGTTTGTCACCAAACCTTTGTTTAGGGGTTACCATTCAATAATTAATGGGGCCTGGAGGAATTTGCTTTCTTCAAATATGTTATTTCCATCTACACAACAACAATTTGGTTATTCAATAATTTTTTTTGACATTTCCCTCTAGCCCCCACATATATCTAGTTTTCAAGTTATAATAATGTATTTGTCCCTGTTAGCCAGTTTGTATACACTTATCCAGACCTGCTTTTGCTCTTATTTGGAAATAACAAACTAAATATTTTGGAATAAGTGTCTACTGGGTAATACAAATAAGCCAACACCCCACCCCCCCCAAAAAAAAACAACAACCTAAAACTGTCATTTTTACTAGTGTTCAATAACAAGTATTAGAGATGAGTGGTTCCACATGTTGATGTACAATCGCCCCAGTTATGCTACTCAATGTGAAGAAGCAGTATTCTATACATTTCATTCATTGCAGATTCTGACATCACAAACCATTGTGTTAAATTCTATCAATCGGATGTAAACTATGTGTTCACACTGCCATATTGGGGACTTTTTTTTGTCTTCTGTTTTTTTTTTTTTAAATACACATTCTTTTTATTCCAAATTCATTTCAAAAATTAAATTATTCGTGTTTGGATGACTTTTGTGTTGGACTATTCAGTGTGAAGTAAAAAGAAACCGTGTGGTAATGTCTGATTGACAGTGGTTCCACTAACCTCAGACTTTTTATTTTATTATAATATCAAGGTCAGTCTGTTTCTCAATTCTAAATGTAAGTTATTTTCACAATGATTCATTTCTTTTAATGTAACATTAATAACCATCTTTAATTGTGGTATTTTAGTCAAACAAAATACTATTTCTGTACTATAAAATTATTTCTTGTACAAGTTTGCCTTTACATGTAAATAGTGCATGTTTGTATTATACTGTAATATGATACCAATTCCATGTCACAAATGATGTATGTTGATGATAGTGTACCACATTCGTTGGCGATGTATCTGTACAGAATTCTCCACTTATCATTTCTGTTGCACTCCAAGATGCAGTCTTATTTATGGGGTTTTAGGACTATTGTATGAAATATTTGAAGGTCTGAATTTTCGTAAATTGCAGAAAATATTTAATAAACTGTTCATAGTTATTCGAAACAAGATCAAATCTTCTAATATTTACTGCAATTTATACTTAAATATTTCACATATTTTTCCTGAATGCAGCTGTAAATGCAGCTATGCTATTTTTTTTATAACCCATGCTGTCCCACCAAATTTTATTTTGATCATTTTAATTTTAGAGTTGATTTTTTTTTTTTTAACCAACCCAAAATGATATAAGCACATAGTTGCACCAAATGAATTGATACCAATCTGTTACAGCTTCTTGTCGTCAATTTGTATTTATCCTTTATTCTATAGTATTATATAATGTATATATCAATATTTATCAGCCATCAGTTATTTTTGTGCTAATTTCAAAATCAATACATAATTTTAAAAACAATTAAACAATTTTTAACAAACTATGCAATACGTCTGTTCATTTTTTTCGGGGGGAGGGCATCTCTAAAGTAAGTCAATGAAGTTCCGAGGTGTATTTGTGAATTTCGTCTAACGAAAGTTTGACGCACAAATAAAAAAACAGCAGTAAATGACATCTTGCAGCGGCGTATGTCGTGCACGATAAGCAGTACCGACATGAAATAAATTGCACCAATTAGCTACAATGTTTTCATGATTATGCGTTTTTTTAATAAAATATTTCTTTGAAAAATAGTGATGTAATGCAAAGATATGTGGCAGTGTCTTCACTATGAATATGTGTTCCATATGAACTAAGATTACAACTTTGATTGTTGAGCAGCTCAACTTGTACAAAAAAATCACTACTAAGGTTAATCTAGATAATTTCTAGTGTGATTGAAATGTATTGAAGGAATCCAATTGTGCATGTCACAGCCAAATCAAAACTTAAATCATGCTTTAAACTGGGAGTGTGCATTTGGTTGTGGGAGAACCGCTGCTAACACAAATCTCGCATGTGTGGCACAATGACAACCACTTTTAATATTTGGAGCACGATTTGTAAGTAATTACTACGAGACTGAATAAAATGACAATCATTAAAATTATTCATTTTCCGGACCCATAAAAGGCCTAATGGATCTGTTGCATGATTTCAACAATGTTCTGGGACAAATTGCATTCGTCACTGCTGGAACCCAAAATAACCTAGAGAAACAACAAATTCTGATACTGAAAAGCATTTGAAATATTTAATTTAAATAATTCCATTTTGTACATTATCATACAAGAACATCGCTGGAGTTTGACTTAAATATCAAGTCAAGACGGCAACATAGTCATAGTTTGCACCTGTAGCAGTTGCCAGCTCATAGAAAATAAAGCTTGCACATGGTTGTAAAAGTCAGTAAATCTAATTGGTAGTATCGTAAAATCTGTATCAGAAACTGTATCCCTAATAGAAGCCGCACCATAATTGTGAACCAAAAATTCGCCATTTCTCATGTGTAGATGCTCTAATACAAGCCGCATCCCTTCTGTTGTATTCTACCATTTTAATAGAAGCAGCAGCTTCTAATACAGATTTTACAGTACTTAAAGCACCAAATTTTAAGCATGACCTGAGGTGGTTGAAACATCCCCAGTGATTCAGTGGCCAAGTTACATAAGCACAACTCCCAGACCCCCTAGCCTATTACTAAGGAGTGTTAAAACATCCCCAGACATGTTAGTGAATATTGTAGACACAACATAATTGAATTCATGCAAAATGCCAGGCATTTTAATCAAAACAGGATTTAAGTTAAACTCAAGTATTTAAAGCACTTGTTAAAAATATATATATTTTACACATGTTGGAATGGGACTATATAAAACATGATGTCATGCAACAGCTGTGGTTTAACAGGGTTAAACCAAACATTGACCATTCTAATTGATTTTTATTCGTTATTAAAAATTACTTTCATTTTTGTATTCATTCATATATACTTTTTTTCCCCAAAATAAACCTGGCTGACTATTATTTATTATATTTGTGCAGTGATTTCATAAAAATAATTCTTTTAAGTAATTTTTAGCACATTTATCGAATGTTTCATTCAAGTTCAATTGAGACAACTGGATTGGCTATAATTGAATAAGTGATGTTCCACAATGTATGGCAACGCCAATCAGGCTCTGGCCTATATGTTAATTGATTGACTACCGCTACACAATGAGCTGACTGGGTCATCTTTGACGTTTATAAACTGTAAATATTTGAATCTACTTTTCTGAAACCACAGTATTAAAGAAGATTACTTAATTTATTCTAAATGCTAACTGTAAAACTAAGGAATAAAATGCTTAGTTTACACATGATACTGTTTTTGTTTTTTTTGCCAATAAATATAGTTTAAAATATAATATACAGTTTGAAACATAACTATAAATAGAAAATAAATAACTAAGGTATTTACAAGATATCATGAAGCTATCACTAAATGTTATTTGTTCAGTACTAAGTACAGTAACATTTTAGAATAAAACTATATCCATAGCGATCCATGAAATTGACACGCATGGTTCTTGACATATCGGTAGAACAAGATGATTGATTCTTGACATATTGGTAGAACAAGACGTTTGGTTCTTGACATATTGGTAGAACAAGACGTTTGGTTCTTGACATATGGTAGAACAAGGTGTTTGGTTCTTCACATATCGGTAGTACAAGATGATTGGTTCCTGACATATCGGTAGTACTAGATGATTGGTTCACAATCTTAAGTACTAACATCATTTCAGAGAAGACATTAAAAAACTCAAATCACATGATCATGATTGTAGCATGAAACCACAGTTATCCACGACAACAGTGTCAGTTTAAAACGGAAAAAAAACTATACTGCACAGTAAACTTATTAGAAACAGCTAAAAGCTGACAAGGCACTTCTGATTGCAGTATCACAAATGTATCCAATAAAAAAAAGTCAAGAAACTTTAAAATGCAAGAAAAAACAACGACATAGATATTATTTAATACTATTAATTAATGGCAGTTCTTTCGCAATCTTGGCTTTGGCTGCACTATTATCATAGAATGTAAGGTAACTATAAAATAAACTACCAGCAACACTGTAAAACAAAAGAGATAAAAATATGATGTAAATGCAGCCATAACATAATGTTTACTTATAACAATGTAACTGCTGAATTGTTACATTGTCTGAATCATCATAAATGAGGGTCAAAGTATACAAGGGGAAAATGTCTTATCTTCGTTGTTGTTTTTGTTGAAAATCGTAAAAAATTTCTTGCAATAACTTGAAATTCGGATACAATAACTCAAACAGTTTTTATCAAATTTCTTTCAAACTTGGATATTATATTACTAGTTTGGGATCCCGGCCAAGTTTAATTTTGGTATGTGTCCTATTTATATTTTTCAAGATATTGATTAGGTTTCTTTTAAAAATGCCTTCTTCTCGTAGTTACAATAACTCAAACAATTTTTATCTGCTCATCTTCAAATTGAGGATTCTTATCAATCACTATGAAATATCAACATAGTTAAATTTTAGTGTAACTAGCAAGTGCAAGTTAGGGGTGAAAATTTGGCTGAAATAAAAATGAATGAAAGCATTGGATGCGCTATTTGGCTAAATGTGTACATTTACAAGAGTTATGCCATAAAATAAACACACACTAGCTACACTGCCGTGACATATGACACATTAGTGCATACAGTTTGTTTAAATTTGTTTGGATAACCAATTTATACGTTTGGATGAAATAATTTTAAAGATAATTGCACCTTCTATTGAAATTCCATGTGTCCCTCAGAACTATAGTTTAACGTCTCCTGTCAAGATGCACATAGAAAACGAGTCAGCAATTTAGCGATAAATTTTTATGTTTTGGTGTTCAAAACAAGATGGCGGTGGCGGTGACAGTAATCAGTAATCACAGCCAATATTTTGGTGTATTATTTTGCGCAATTTTAAGTATTTATCTATAATTTCTTCTTAATTTAGCACCAAATTGACATAATGTTCTATTAGCTAGAAGTTAAACAAGAAAATTTACCAACAATTATGGACGTTTATTTTGTGAAATGTGACAAAAGTTGACTTCAGCATTCAAATCATTAAAGTGACAACTTGGTATATAGGTTTGTAGTGCAAACAATATAAACAATGGTGTCCTATGATTCTCTGGTGCAATCCCTGGGAGTGACAGCTGTCCCTTTAAAATATTAAAAACAGTTTTTAATATTATAAGAGACAAATTTTCATCCCTAAACAATGATGATTTATCGTAAAAATTTCTTGCAGCGAAAAATTAAGTGATTTACAGTATCTCACAATTATAAATTCACACACATTTATCGGAATAGACTTTTTTCTGTTCACTGCAAGATTTTGGTGAAGTACGAGTATATCAATGTCATATTACTCTGAATAATCTGGATTTTGACATCAAGTTATCAAAAAGAAAAAAATTCAAGTTCAAAATCAAATCATTTAGTTTGTGTGGCAGCCGTTCGGTCTGCATCTTCCACACAATAAACGGAAAATCACCTATTGTGAATTTAAAATACTTGATGATGCAGTTGAATTCATACTGTTAAGATGAGTATTAACACCTTTCTTTTTAAAGCAAGCAATTCACTTGCGCAACATTTCGCCCAGAACTACTCACCTAATATTTAGACCCAGGAAATTTGTTAAGCTAAATATATAATCACCACCAAATATCATACCAACATAAGTAATTACGATGTTCTGGTAAATAAACAAAAAGAAATTATTTTTGAAATAAAACATGCACATTAATTTTTTGTTGTGTTTCACTGAAATTTGAAAGTCAAAATGCGACACCCACCAACCATTTCTCGGGCATGCCAAGACCAATTTCATTGCAAACATAAATGAACAACACATGTTAGGTTATAGATGCACATTTGTTTTGCAGTTTTGATGCAAGTCTTGTATGAACTGATTTTATTTAAAATATGCACATAATGCACATAATGATATTATTTGTACTAACCTTAATACAGCCAACCATTGTTGTTGTTAATGCTGAATTATAATTTGTACAAAGTAGGGTGGCATACATTAATATAAAACTGAAAAGAAAGTTATATATTAATTATTATAACTGAATGTAAAATGATATAAACTGAATGTAAATTGATAGCCATGGATTGTTTAATGGCTGAATTGTTTTTTTTAGTGTTTTGTTTACTGTGAGTATTGAACGTCTCATGCATGGATGGATGAGAATATTTACCTTTAATCAGAATAGTAAAACAATTGGAGTATTCAGAATGGCAGGGAGTAAATTTTTCCCTTTTTCCGTTATATAACCTTATTTACATTTTGGTGAATAAAAAATTAATCAGAATATCCTGCTGTTACTGCAAAGCAGTTTCCAGAGGGTGCTCAACAGTCTCTAGAGGGCGATCAACAGTCTCCAGAGGGCGCTCAACAGTCTCCAGAGGGCGCTCAACAGTCTCCAGAGGGCGTTCAACAGTCTCCAGAGGGCATTCAACAGTCTCCAGAGGGCGCTCAACTGTCTCTAGAGGGCGCCCAGCAGTCTCTAGAGGGTGCTCAACAGTCACTGGAGGGCGCTCAAAAGTCACTAGAGGGTGCTCAAAAGTCACTAGAGAGTGCTGCACTATTTGCACTGATTAGGGAGAATACTGCAAATGATTTAACTGTGTTAATAAAAATAACTGAGTATTAAATAAATAAACACACCCCATTATACAGGAGAGAAGAAATTGGAAAATAAAGAACTTATTGGTCCAGTCGTTGAAAGACAATGCTTTATCCATTTCACCAGTTGTCACGGCGAGTACTGAGGCTGGTAATAACATAAATAATGCATTGTAGTATAGCAATCCATATTTACCAAGCTCCTGTAATAAAACGATGTAACGATGTCATTATGTGATTTTTACACCTTACTAAATTCTGTGCTCTTCTATATTTTTTCTATGCATTCTTTTTTCAGGCTGATGTGGCAGTAAAATTTTGTTTTGGCTCAACTTAGTCTGTGTCTGTTGGTTTAATTTTTTTAAAAGCACATTATTTCTCCTGTAAGATTTTTTTGTTTTTAAATTTTCTTTGAAAAACAGCAATGTATGACAGGAATTATTGTAATGAAGACAATAACAACTTTGTCAATCAACGGCAAAGATGTCAGGTTTCAAACAGGATGGCCAATTAACATATAGATTTATGTTTGGACTCAAGTTACTCAAAATATAAAAGGCTTTCAATAAAATATTCCTGAAAACAACTATAAACCTGAAAAGTTTATTTTTGTGTTTTCCATTTTTCCTTTGCGAGACATTTGTCATTCAGAAAATCTCAATTAGAAATTAGAAAATAGACTGTAGAATTGGTAGATTCAGCTCTACTGTCAATGTATTACTGTAAAATGGTTTAAATTTCGCTGATTTACCATTTCATGCATATTCAGTGGGTTTCAAAATAACGGTTTTATCATTTAGATAATGTGTTCTATGCTAAATTTTACATATTCACTGGGTTTTAATTTAGCACATTTTCCAGTCAGCGAAATAAGCAAAATTAAAACCCAGTGAATAATTATTCCTTTTACAGTATAAGATACATGTACAATTCGTTGACAACACTACTACATACCTTAGCGTCCAGTTTCTTTTTCATGTATACTCCATTAGCAGCTGTGCAGATATTGTTCACTAGTATGTAAGTATACCCCATCATGTCAAATGCTAAGTCATCACTATAAATGAAAATAAAAAATATTTCAGTTTCAAGAGAGAATGTCAACCTATCGCTCATATAATATTGAGTGTCAAACAGCGTTCATCAGTCAGACCATCAGCGTTTAAGGGTAGTTGCAACTACAGGAATTTGTCTGAAACTTTGCTGAATTATTCTGAAGAGAAACCTATTTTTTAAGTTGTTCTCCTCCATTGATTACATCTTGCCTATTTTTCAAAAATGTCACCACTATACGGCTTAACACTATGGGGAAATCGCATAGTAATTACTTTAATGGAAACATGTCCAGGTACCGTACACCCGATTTTTATTTGTTCTTTTTCATTTTTTTGATGGAACTTACCAACCAGAAAATAACAAGTAATTGTAGAGCTCTTCACATTTTAACATTTTTTGCTAGTTAGCAAAAGTAAAAGAAATTCTTACCCCCAGAAATAACTAAAAGGCTCTATTAAAATCAAGTCTGAAATCTCACAAGTAATAAATTCAAGTTTGGTGAAGTTTATTTAGGACTAGATTCAGATTACCAATTCACTTACCTTGCTGCAATGAGGGCTCCAAATATCATGGAAAAAACTACAATTTGAACTTTTCTAGATGCATTTACACTGAAATTGAACAAAAAAAAAACACTATAAATGTTGTAAGTACAGTATATGCCACAGATATATAGTACATGTAGTTATGCACTGCACTGCAGTGTAGTACACTGAAATCACATGACATGAACGTCACATGACAGAACATGAACATCACATGACATGCCATGCCTGATCTTACAAATCTTTTATAATCCAGGAAGTCTATAAACTGTCATGATTTGTAGGTGCAGAGTAGAAACTTGAATGATAATTCATTCATTCAGACATTTCTGTAAATGATTTGGAGTATCTGTAGACTGACATTAAATGACAATATCACTTATTCTATATCTACTCCAGATATTTAAAGCACTACAGATGTTCAAATGTCATTGCATAAGTTCACATGAGAATCATATCGAAGACACAATCGCAATGTAATCATTTTCATTGTAAATATTTTCTTTTGAACTAAATACATCAATAAATTATCGACTTTATTAACTTATGTGATAAATTTACCAGAGAATATTAGGTTAGAGTATTACAGAATGGCAGAGAGTAAAATAGCGGCGTTACGTGGATACTTTTTCTCTTCTTATTATAATGTCATTTACAGTTCCGTGAATAAAAAATTTAAAGTTTTATTAAAACATCAGTTACATCATTTGCACTATATAATGTTCACCCAAACTGAAATAAAATCATTTTTTCAGGATAAGAAAGCTCTCTCACCCCAAAACTAAAGATTAATTTTGTTTATCATCCTGAACTGTTGATGTTGCTCAATGGACAAGTTTTGACAATCAGTCAGTCATTTTCTGTGCAAGAATGAGGGTTGATTTCGATCTCGTGCAATTTGTTCATTGCTTTCCTTGGTTCCCGGCTTACTGATGGGCTATCAAACATTTACGCGTCCAAAATGGAATATTTTTACACTAGGGTGCACAAGTTTCTAAGACAACATCAAAACTTGAAACTTGTCTAATGCACTGGGTCTGTTACACATGAAAATGTAAAGCATCACCTACCCTAGAACGTAGTACTCAGCTACCATTGTCATAAGTATGGAAAACCTCCTGAGAACTGTAAACATTGGTAAACTACAACAAAGATGATAATAGAAAAATCACTGTAAATGAAATTCTATCATTCGTAAAACACTGTATGAATGAGTTTGAAAATTTTATGGATGCTTTTCAATGCTTTTCTATTATGAAATTATGAATAAAAACGTATTTAGTACTGATCGCATGCCCCTATTTGCAACAGTTTTTGAAATATAACAATTATGCGTATTTAATGAGATCACATGACCAAATATGGTTATATGACATGTCAGCCACATCTCTTGCCCAAATTACATTTTCCCCATCGAATGTTAGAATATGGTGCTAGTCCGACATTGTGCTGTCTTCACGCTTTTTTTTATTTTGTATAAATTTCACATAGTGTTCTTGACATGCCAAATTATATAAAAACTATATTTATATATTTTATCAAGGACTGACATATTAGATATTGAAAGTACATTTTCCAACTGAATATTTACTAGCGACTGGCAACAACATGTTTGCTTGTCAGGGTATGAGTTAATTGCCGACACATTATTGGTCAGAATGTTGTTCTTATGACATGCACAGGAAACTCTGACATGTGCATATTAATGAGGTAACATGACAATGTATGGATATGTGATAAGTTAGCCATACATGTACATCTTGTGCTATGCCTTTATTATAGCACTGGTTGCTTACAAGCATAGAGTTGTTAAATACAAGCAGAAACATTGTCTAATGTCTTAGTGCAAAAAACTAAATTATTTTAACTTGAAAATTATTTTCGTTATTTTTGCTTTAGGGATGATTTGGTGGCAATAAAATACAGTGAATACATCTTTTTCATATATTTTACATTCAACTCATCAAAAAACAGTGACAATAAACACCTCAAAAGTATTTTCAGTACATATAATTTGTTGACTTAAAAACAAGTATCAGAAAATATGGGCACTTTTTGGAACCATTTCCCAGAACTATTTTCATTGAATAATTTGATAAAAAAAAAATAATAGTACATGTCAAAACTATAATAACCCACCCTATAATATATGAACTCATTAATTTGTATCCATATGTGAGCAAACAACATTTTAAGACCAATGGTAATTTGCTAAAAAATTCCCATTTTCATTAATGTCAGACTACTTTTTTCGTGCAAAAAGTAATTTGGCAATCATACTATTTATCATACATTGTATACAACAAAGTCATATCGTAAAAGTCAAGAAAATCAGGTGATATGTTTTAATGGTAGCCTTGCTCAATTAATAATTAATCAATTGAGTTAATCAACAGTAACCGATAGTTACACACACAAAAGTAAAATAAACACATATAATACCAGCATGTACAATAATGTCAATACTAAGTTACTGCATGATGCCCAGGAACCAACAATATCCAGAAAATAATAGTAATCATGAAAACTGCCATCTTTTGGTCAGTTCTATTACAACATTGGAATATTCCTTCAAATACAGAGTACAGGTTTGTTACGATTAAAACACAGATTTGAATACGAAAGACTATTCATAAAAAAAATGAAACAAGATGTCTATGAATCTGAATACACCGGTATTCGAACATTTTTTTCAAGAACAGTTTTATAAAATGATGATATGACCTTGAATTCCCATACTTACTTTAAACGTTTTGTACTTCCCAAACCAAATACTAAATTTCCCATGTAAATAAGAGGCAGTGGCCATATCTAGAACAAAATAAATATAAAATCATTAGATATAATTAGAGATTTTGTCTTGTGACAAAAATAGCCAATTTTTTTGAGTAAAAACTGAGAATTTACTCAAATTTTGTCTGTTGGCTCCAAAATTAGGGTTCAATTCCAGAAATATTGAAGAATAGAAGAAATGAGTACAGAATAATTTGAGCGAGAAAGTCTTGTGGTGATAAGATTAGGGTTTACATGTAATAGTAAATTTGAGACTCCTTGGCAAGAATAATACAACACAGATTGACACATTCAAAACATTTAATGGAATCCTGTTAATCTGATCCAGCAAACAAATAACAAATCTACATCCATAGTGGAATTGGGAACAATTTCAGAATACAAAATTTGCTTGAGGACTTTATTCAGTCATTTACAATATGTTTAGTTTCATCAAGGCATTGGGACAATAAATAAACGCATAGTTGGGAAACACAAAAATTTACAGGTACTCTTTTTATGGTGACCATATGGTTTTTATTAGTTTTTCATGAATAGAACATGAAATGGGTCAAGTAGGCACAACCTTAATGTGTAAAAAATGGCATAATGAAATAAATTCAATGGTGGATGATGTGTCACATATCATTTGTTGGTAACTATGATTACTCACAATGGTTCCGTCCCATCAACTACCTGTGGCTTAGCCAAACTGTGATGCTATGTTCATGTAAGATCTGAATCAATAGTTGGTGTTCTTTCTAACAATTTGGGAGTTTGTGAAAACAAGCCATTGAGAATGTCACAGCCTTCTTCCTTATACATTAATATCAATGAACAGTCAGCATGCTTCGTTTTGTACAAGTGCATGTTTCAGTTCTATGCTGTGAACTAAATGTTTTGGACTGCTGCATATGTGAATAAATAATGGATAAGTTGGAAAAAAATGAAAAACAAAATGGCTGCCAGTTGTCCATCTTAGATCAGATCATTGATATGCTAGAATACCATGTTTTGACTCAACAAGAATTTGAGATATAAACAGCACCTAAAAATTGTCAATTTGCATTAAACAAAATGTCTACCCGCCAACCATCTTAGATTGGATTGTGACAAAAATCAACTTTCATTTTAATATGCGCTACACAAATGTCTGTTTACCACGTTTGGACCTAATTGAACATTTGTGAATTTGAAATGTATGCAGAATTTCATCGAACAAAATGTCTACCAGTCCACCATCTTGGACTGGATCATGAAGTGGATCAACTTTTGTCTGTGTGTCAAATAAGGACCTACATGTAGATGTAACTTTACAGTGCAAATTTGAGACATAAGCAGAGCAAACCAATTGACAGAGCCTAAATAATTACAGTAGTCGCTTTTTCCAGGCTGTGCCTGAATGGGGACTTAAAAATGAATTCAGAAAATGAAGCATTGTACAATGTACAGTATTTGACATTTGTCTCTATACTAGTACTTCTTTCATAGAGAAATTTCTTAAGAGAAAGAGAGTCTAAATTCATGCCATTGAATACCATTGAATTGGCAGTCTGCTGACTAGACATTTCTACATATAAAACCAAATGCACAAAATTAGACCAAGATCATCATCACATTGCCACTGTACAGTACTTACTTTATCTGGTATCTCTCTAGTGCAATCTGGAAATGATACAATTTTGAATTCTTTTGCTGCAGCTAAAACTACAATTGTTGCAAGCATCTGCAAAACAAAACAATAAATAAAACTTTTGTTATAAATAGCGCCAACAAAATTAAATAAGTCATGACATTAGGCAGTCCCAACTGAGTTTGAAAATTACAAGTACAAACTATGGAAAAACTTAAGAAATTCAAACTATTTTTTTTTTTAAATTATGAATTTCAATTATTATAGTTGTATGAAGAATTTACAATGCTTTTACATTTTTACTACCATAGCTATCAACTAGTTATCATTTTATAAATGCAACCAACCAATTAGAGAGTTAACACTGTACTGATATCAATTTGATAATAAATTCTAACTTTAAATCTAGTTAATAAATTTGAACTTTAAATCTAGTTAATAAATTTGAACTTTAAATCTAGTTAATAAATTTGAACTTTAAATCTAGTTATTAAATGTAAACTTTAAATCTAGTTAATAAATTTGAACTTTAAATCTGGTTAATAAATTTGAACTTTAAATCTGGTTAATAAATTTGAACTTTAAATCTAGTTAATAAATTTGAACTTTAAATCTAGTTAATAAATTTGAACTTTAAATCTAGTTATTAAATTTAAACTTTAAATCTGGTTAATAAATTTGAACTTTAAATCTGGTTAATAAATTTGAACTTTAAATCTGGTTAATAAATTCCAACTTTAAATCTAGTTAATAAATTTGAACTTTAAATTTGGTTAATAAATTTGAACTTTAAATCTAGTTAATAAATTTGAACTTTAAATCTGGTTAATAAATTTGAACTTTAAATCTGGTTAATAAATACTCCATAAACCTACCTGACCAATGCCTAAAACTTGAAAAGCAGGAAATCTGAAAAAAAAGTTGAAGTAATTAATGTTTCTTACTTAAAAATGTGTGTGAACAAATTCAGCAAGAATCTTTTTCTTGTTTTTCATGGTCGAATTGTTAAAAACCATGTCAGTCAAAATTAGAATTTGATATGGAAGGTTTCTGTTCAGTAAACTGTGTCTTCTTGCTAAGATGACAGTTATAGAGAATACCAATGTTCACAAAAAGATGAAAATACCGCACAAAACATCTGAACAAAGAAATATAACTAAAAAAGACACATAAAAGATTTATCACATTCGCTTTATTTAGTAACTGACTTGATGGCGGATGTGAGTTCATATATGTAAGCTTGAAATAAAAGATCTTTTCGTTATTTTGATTTTTTCAGGTCTGTCATAATTTGTTGTATGAAGTATGACAAGCAACCTGATGGTCGAAATAGCTCCCCTGTCTGACAAGAACATTATGGGAGCCAAGTTCAGCAATGCACACTCATATACAAAAATGTGGTTAAACACACAAACACGTATTTTTCTTCTGTTATAAACCTGTCAACTTAACTCCATCAAACCAATTGTTGACAAAATAATGTACACCTCAAACATCGAAAAATTAAGGTTGGTAGTTTCAAGAAGAATTCATTTTTAACAAAACTATTCGCCAAAAAATAAAGATTGAATATTGTCACAAAATGAACAAATCTGACCTACACAAGGTACCTACATACCAAGTATCAAAGCAATTGAGCTGGTAGTTTTCAAGAAGAAGTCGAAAATGCAATTGTTGACGGACGACAGGCGATAACGGACACCTCATCTGTATCCGCTCTGTCAACCTCATTAATATACACCCTTTTCAACAGATGTTAGAAAGAAAAGATCAGCTAAATTATAAATAAAATAAGATGGAAGCATTCAACACTGAAAATAAAATTTTCAAAATCTTGACTTAACAAATAATAAAATTAGTACGATAATGGTTAAAGAATTGTTTACTTGTGGCTTTACTTGTCAATATCACTGTAAAAGAAAAATTCAAACAGAATCTTTGTATGCTAAAAATTAAGACATGTGTCCAATACATATCAAAAAGACTTAAATCATACAACTAAAAGTATTATACAAAAGGGATAAATTTGATTGTACATCTGTGATGGTCTTATGAGCTGAATTTTCTATTCTACATTTATTTTTTTAATAGTAAAGTTACATGTATCTAGACAGAAGAACTATTACCTAAGAAAAAGAGAAATGACCAGCCCAATTACCAGTACAAGAGGTACATTTATGAGTGTGGAAATGGGAAAGGATCTTTGTCAGATTAGCACTAGATTCCTGTTAGATCTATTTTCACTTGTCATATTATTTTTGATTATCCTGACTGATAATTTAGATTAGTATTTTGACAAAGAATGTACAAGTAGAAATTTAATGACATCCAGATCGGTGTTACATGAGCAAAAATTAATTTCAAACCAAAATAAAACATTTACATGTACCATCACACTTTGTTGAAATCTAAAGAAGATGCTTGGCCATAGAAACCATTTGGTAATGCCTGTTAGCCAGAAGTCTTTGCTAGAGTCCTTCACTCATTTGGTTGAAATGCAGCCATGCAGTACCGGGGTAGTTCTAGAGGTTTTAAACCATAATTTGAATTTTATCATGAAATGCATAAAACCAGGTTTCACAAGGGTGTGAATTTGCAGGCAGTTCAACTGGGATCTACCTTCTGCGTTCATGGCAGTAAATTGATCAATCTTTGAATGAAGAACGTGGATCTTTCAGGATAAATACTTAAAAATGTCCATAAAACAAATTCACACCTTTATGAAACTCAGTGTAGTACAAACACTACAACACTCAATAAATAAACACACATACAGTCTTGGTTAATTTTTCAAATTCGTGGAGCTGACTTATTTGAACAACCTATTTATGTAGCCATAGCTTTCTGTGGCAACACTTTGTGTAATGTAATTTAGCTATTCTGTTAACAAAACAGTGTCTCACACTGCAAAAATGCAGTTCCAGTCTTTCTTGTAGTCACAGTAAAATCTTTGAAATGTTTAACTTTGTTAATGCTGTGTAAATCTTATGATCTTATGAAATGTTTCCTAATTTTATTTTAAATTGCCATCAATTTATTTTGGCTTTAAATACCATCATGGAAATTATTTTAGCTAAAACTGTATAAGCTCTTAATAAATAAGACAGGGATTATGTATTCAGCAGCAGGGTTATTAAGCCCACCAACACACACAGCAGTATTAAAGGCCCAGGTATACTATAAATATGCTTCTAAGCAATAGGGATTATTTCCTTAAAAGTCACGCTGTAGTAAACAGCTCCAGCCAACCTCCGGTAAAGATGCGATTTCTCATACTTATAATAGGTCGATTATGTCGTGCCAAAGTGGGTGTATGTGACTATGAATATCATAGCAGTGACTGTGTGTAGTATTTATGACAATAAATAGTGTAAGAGTTGAGATTTTATCGGATGAACGTCAAAAACACAAACCGGAAAAGAGGACGCTACTGAGCTTTAATCAATGTCATGTGACGTTGGTTCGCTGAAACATGTTGCGTCATCTAATCTCCAAAAACATTTACAGTTTCTAATGATTTCTCATTATCACATAGCGGATTCAACAAGGACAATGAAAATCTTGTTCGCAAATTTAAAAAATCGCCATAGAGAGTACGAGCCAGAAATACCCCTAGTTATGTTTTAATGAAACGAATACATGTACTGTGTTTAGTATTGTTTACTGTTACTTGGTGATAGTGAGCGTATTCCGGAAATAGTGCAGCATATGATGGTAAATGGAACAGGATGGAGACACGGACCAGACAATGACGATCTCTGGAGGTGACGATGATGAACCAATAATGTTACATGTGACTCAGTAAGTAATAATTTACTTGCTTCTTCATGACATTTTACAGTTGTTTAAGAAAATGGCTAATTTATGCCTTAACTGTATACCTTAACATGACTACTAAATCTAGCCTTTACAGTCAAGCTAACAATAAGTGAACAAATGACTAAAAATATTTATTTTAGATACTGTGGAATACTTTATTTTCGCTGGAATTAATTTTCGCTGAAAAGGCTTTTTGGGCGTTTTGCTTAGAATTTATTTTCACTGATTTTTCATGAGTTTAATGTGAAATATAGGAAAAAAAGTATATTCACGAGATTTTATTTTCACGAAATCATCCCTTCAGCTAAAATAGTGAAAATAAATTCCAAGCGAAAATAAAGTATTATACAGTAATACAAGTTCTGACTTTCCTTCACTAGTACACTAGTTGGCATATAGCAGTTTTATTTTGCATTACAAGGGGCTGTGATTGGTCATCAGGTTTTCGCACACAGTGATGCATTGTCTAAAATTTATTATCTTTACAATTGCCATGTATCAGTAGCATTTAAGCGGGTGAAAGTGTGAACACTGTGCAGTGAATATTTTATTTATTGTTGACCCTAGCGAGCTTGACAGCATTCTAAGCATACATGCATCATGGTCATTGCCATGTCTGTGCTCTATGGAAGCAAGTCTAACTCGCCCATTATATACTTTGATGCTATCAGCTTGTAAATATTTTAATAAACTACGAATTTATCAAAACATAGGCTATGCAAGTGATTAACAGAACTCATTATCATAGCCAAACCTCCAATAAACACTTAAAATGGGCTTTTAAGCACACCCCCCCCCCCCCCACACACACACACACACTCATCAACTGTGAAAACAGGTTTTGTGACTGAATTTCGGCTTGACACTTATTTATAAGTGTGTTGCTGTTCGGTTTTAATTGATATGCTGCAATCGATAGTTACCATAAAACAGGAAACCACCTCGATCGAGATGGGCAGATTGTCGACAAGTGAGCTACCCAATTCGGTGCCGGCTCAGACAAAGTCTGTGGTGTGGTCTGGGGTGTTGGTCACACACAGAAAAAATGTAGATCATCTCAACCACAGAATTATACTCACTTGTAAGTTGTCAGCACACTCTTGTTCACTATTACGATTAAAAAAGACGATAGTCCATAAAAAAGGGCCGAACAGATACGTGCTGTTCGACTGGGCAATGAGCGTAAAGCTTCACTGACATTATCGTCAGCCATGTTGTTATCATACTCCCCAACAGGCTGATTGTTTTCAACGGTATCCCCTAGGTGGGCGTCAATGCTTCGCTTTCGCCGCATCTCTTGGGAAAGTAGTTTCTCGCGGTGGCCACACCGGCAGCCAAAAAGGGGTATGAGTACGCTGTTTCTCCGATATGACTAATTGCATGCTGAACAAACTAACAAAATAACACTGTGAACTGAACTAACGAACGACGTACAGCTGGGGCCATGTAAACAGCTGTTACTACCAACAATGCGTATTTATCGGACGAACAGTGAAATGTATTATTATACTTTGAAATTAACTCATAAATAAATCCCAGCAGGAAGAAAGCTGGACACAAAGTAGTATTGAACTGTGTTACTAATATACTGCTATTATCTGCCGCGCGTAGCGTTCAAATTGAACGCAATAAAATCACGCGTAGAAACTAGTGGCTTCCACACTGGCTGTCGGTGAATTGTTTTGCAATAGACATAATGTTAGAGCCTGTATTTTATTATGTCATGTTTTTAAGTTTTGTTAAGAATTATTCTGTAAAGAAATCGCTAAAAATTATTTCATCTTTTTGTAAATGGGACGTTTTTGCTTCAATTGTGGCCTATGGATGGCTGACTTCAAAACGTTACATCCAGATCGGTGGGCGCCCTCTCGTACCGGTTACCATAATTCTTTAATAAAACGTTTTACGTTCTGACTCCGAATACAATTTGTAAAAGCATTACGTCATCGCCATATTGTTCCGAACAGCAACATGCCAGTTACAGTAAGTTGCTGACTGTTTTGGTGTACCCACAGGGAGTTGGACAAACTTATGTATAATAAAATGTTGTATAACTTTTCTTTTACCCCCCCCCCCTCCTTCCTGGTATCGATTTTAAGTTATCACTGATCTTTGTTTATACCACTCTTTCCTTCATCACAACTTTATTACGCGCTAATGTTATATGCAAATTTTAACGCGTGATGCAGACACACCCTATTATAGTAAATTATCCCAAGGGTTGAAACGCGCCAGGACTGTGGCATAAAATCACGCATTCGAACCTTTCTGTCGTGTTAGGATGGCTGAAACACGAGTCAATACTAGACAGATAACTGGACGAACAATATTTATTACAAATCGGGCGCCATATTACAAGTAACCAAACTGAGGATGCTCAAAGCAATGCCTTATGGGAAAACTATAGGGCTTACACCACATCTCCCTTTCTTTATGTTTAGTCCACTGTTTGCATATGTATATGGCTTTCAAGTGTCCTAAAACAAGCGTAAACGATTCTGCCAAACTAGAAAGTATAAAATTACATCGAACATGGAACTGTAACACAGGAAATATTTCGAACTAGATAACTGTTTAACAGATTGGCTCATGCCAAAATA